TACCTAATAAATATTTATACAGCTGCATTAAGCGGAAGCAGATAATGATAACACTACGCGTACCCATGTTATTTTATAATTATATTTTAAATAAATATTATCATACTTTATATACAAGTTTATTATTTGATAAATTGATATATAATATAACCTGCTTATCACATATAAATCCAGAATTCTATTTAATAATTCAATTTTTGAACCGTATATATTTATGCTACGTAAATATTACAACTGTTTATTCAACAACGTGTGTCCCGTGTACCAATAAACTTAAATAGTTTTAATTTTTGAACTTATATTCTCTTAATTCTTTAATCTTTTGGCACGTTTACCTAAGTAGTTCAAATTATTATTTGATCATTATTATTTTTTATTATTATGCAGAAGTGTGCATAGGATAAACGAATAATCTATGTATATAAAAGAAAATAATTACAATATAGTGATCCTTTAAAGTAAAATAAGTACCTAATAATTATTTACATTTAAATTTTCTAAATATACTTTCTACTTAAGTACCTATTGTGTATATACTGATAGTATATCGTCACTAAGTTTCGTAGCCGTATAACGTTAAGTTAAACTGTATAGATATATAATATATGTATACCTAATATATATAATAAATAGTAAGATGCATTTTTTTTATAATTTATCGTCGACGACCGATAAGCCTTACAATCCAAGTATCTATATATCAATAGACGACGATAAATGGTGCATCTACGTCTTGCTATTATCTCATGAACGTTTTCTTGAAATCTTGACGTACCACGATACTCATTCCAAATCAAACACGCGTGATTTAACTTTACGGTTGATTAAAAAACAGTTGACGCTTGTGCAAACATTGACTGAGAACCAAGCAAGTCTCATAAGTAGCAATAGAATTTAACTTCTTGTGAACCATAAATAAATCGAATTGATTTCTATTCACATTTATGTATTTGTATAAACAAATTACATAAAATTGTCTTAACTTGAAATTTTTATTTACTAGCTAACTAAACTAGAAAAAAAATATAATACAACAAATATTGAATTATAATACTAATAATCGACATGTTGTATCATTTGAAATGTTTAACTCCTAAATCACGTCTTGTTATAGGTTATATTTGACATTTATTATTTGTTCTATGATAAAAGACGGACTTAAGTCAGAACTCAGAAGCTAGGTACCATTTTTTAAGGCATTGTAAACAAATTAATAAAGATAAACTATCTAAAATTCACTTAAATTAAATTAGTGTTAAGTTATAAGTTAATTGTAAACCAACAATATATTCAATACAAAAAATTTTAAGGTAATAGAAAAAAATATTTATTTACGATTGTTAAAAAGACTTAACTATTATTTATTTTAATTTCCATTTAGGTCAATGATCAAGCATATAGGCAAATTTTAATTTATTTTAAATATTAACTAAATATTTTATTGAACATCGATTCTATTCCTTCTAATTGTACATTATAGTCGTTATAATAGTTTAATCAATTGTGGGTTAATGGCACATTTAGTGCCAATTAAATTATTTAATCAAAAAATGTATATTTGTTTATTTGTATTTAAAATAATATGTTGAATAGTAGTATAAAGCAGTGTTTCTTAACCTTTTTTGTATGACGACACCTTAATTTAGATCTATAAAAATGGCGACACATTTAGGCCCAGACTGAGGAAGGACACGGATTTTAGATTCTTCGTTTAAATGGATAGTTAATTAGATTCTCTATGTTATTTGCATTTTTTATTTGTTTTAACATTATGTCTCAATAGCTGAGTACTATCTACAATTTAATATGTCTAATCTGTAATAATTATTAATACGCATAGACAAAAGTATTTTCTGAATTCTAGGATTTTACATGCGTAGGTACGCCTATCATTTATGTATTATTATTATACATATAAATGGGTATCATTTATTATTTTAATTTTTAGCCATTGTCGTAAAACATTTATTTAATTTAAATCACTGCTTAACTATAGTACATAATATAGTGTATATCAATTGTAAATAAGCACGTCTGCACACACTATAGATAAAAATGTAAAAATTATCGTCGCCGCCGTATAATAAATACGCTTAAGTATATTTTAATACCTATCAAACATTCCAATGTTATATTCTAATGTATAGGTTGGATACCAAACTAATGGATTTTCGGGAAACATTTATTTACATTTTAGGAGAGTGGTTAATGGTTAGCATATAAAATCACATAATTTCTAAAACACAGTTTTAATAGTTTTGATTCTATAATAATTGAACCGAGCGTCTAATCTACCTGTCCACCAATACCGCCTATATGTATAACAGTCGAAATAAATCCTGCATGGCTATGGCATCTTTACTTAAGAATTTTCCCACAATGAATTATGTATCTTTTACATAGACGTAACAACTGTATAATATATACTAATACACTATAATATAGTACATTATAGGTAGTACCTACCTATAAGCCTAAATCAAACTGTCAAAACGAGTTTCTCATTTTATTGGAGACTCGTAACACGATTCCATACAGCATATAAATGAGAAATTTTTTTTAGTATGTTTTTAGGAATTTAATTAATTGTATTCGTTTAAATTAATAATGTACCTATAGGGCGTACATGTTGTGAAGTAACTATGAATATAGGTAGGTATTTTATATTTTGTAATATAGCGGCCAGTAAGTATAAAGATTACAGATAAAAAGTTATAATATTTTAGTTATCTATATAATATAAATAATGTAATAGTGATGAGTTGTCATTAAAGCTGAGCACTTCTAGTACTTAAAAATATCAAAACATTTACGCACTTAAAATATACTCAAAATATTGGGCGATAGGAGTGGGGGAAAGGGTTAGTGAACTCTTAATTCGGTCCCAGTCACAAGTGAACAATCAAAATTTATTTCCTACGCGTTACATGTAACATAAATGACGGTGCAGTAATCATATCGGTCCGGTTGCGATCTCTTAAAATAATCGTACGAACAAAAATATTATTTATGTACTTACCAATATAATTCTTTAAGTGTGATTTTATTTAATCGAACTCATTTAATACTTACTCTGCTATGTCAAAAAATTACGAAATATATATTTATATTTTCAACGTAATATACTTCAATATGTATTAGAAATAATAATTAATTAAAAAGTATTTATAAAAACATTTTAATTTCATTGCTTTCTAATTTTTGTTAAGTATTAATTAGGTATATGCTGACAGTTTCAAAAAATAAAAAGGACCCGTGAACTCGTGAACCCCGTGGACCCCGTCCCCTATGCCAGGTAAGGCTTTGAGTAGGTAGTTGTTTACTTTAAATAATTCAATTTCACAAACAAAACGATTATTTTGTTCAACTATCGATGTATTATCAAACATAATAACATAATAATTATCATAATAATTAATAGTTTTGACAGTTAATAGTTATCTGCGAGGAAAATGTTCAAAAACAAATTATATAAAAATACACACGTAGACAATTACCATATTATACTAGAAATGTTTTATGTAATTTTTTTTTTTTTTAATATTGAATTACACGAAACTGCCATTTAGGACCTAAGACTAAAGAAGTATTTTTTCCACTTATGTGTGATATAATATATAGATCATGTATTATAATATGATACTAGCTGTACCCGCACGGTGTCGCTTGTGCAAAGAATCGCAAGTCAAATATCCTTTAAATTTTCATTTTTGTTGTTAAACATAATAAACGTTATTAAATAATAAGTAAAAAGCGGGAAAAGAAATGTAAAAAACTGGTACCTGATTATACTGTGTGGTTCGAACTCGAGGACTCGTTCTAGAATGTTATACCTACTGAAATGCCATGGCGCTAAAGGGTTTTCTAGGCGATATTTTAATGGATATTAAAATCGTGATATACCTTACGTTTCCGAGATACAAATCTGATTATATCATAGAAATATTAGTATCAAGTTATACGAACAAATTATACACATAAATCTTCCTCTGTTAATTCAACAGTGAAAACCACATAAAAATCCATTCAACCGTTTCTGAGTATATCCTGAACAATAAAAAAACGACTTCATTTTATACTAGGAATTGATTTGTGTATATTTTAATTTTAAGCACTTTTTTATTTGACAAATATTTAAATAATACTTTTTGAAAACTAATTTAACATCTATTAGTTATAAATTTACTAAATTAGAGTTACATTTAGTCATTTTAAACATTTGTAAACAATTTTTAGTACATAAAAAAAAAAGATCATTTGTTATTTACTAAATAAGTATTCTATATTAAAGCACGTCATAGATAGCCTTAAATAAAGCGTGTTTAAAATTAAATAAAAAATACTTTACTACAAAAAAATAATAGTTGTTTTAAAAAATATATTAATAAGTTTTAGACTTTAATTATTATTCTCAAGATTACCTATAATTGTTTTAAGCTACAAAAACTTAATTGTATAAGTAATTAAGATAAATAATGAAATTTTAATTTTGTCATATATATTCAACTTTTTTAAATTTGCATAAATGAGATTTAATTCATATAATGTTTACTTTAACAATAAACCTATTATACCCGTAATATATATGTAAATACATATCAAATAAAAATTTCATATTTTTAGAATTATATAAGTAATAAATATTTAATTATTCCATACCCCAATACTAAATAGTAAATACTAAATAATTAAAATTACAAATTAGATCATAAAATCATTCAAAATAAGGATTTACGAAATATACACAAAAATATTTAGCTTTATCATAAAATGCAAATTTATAGAAAATTATGAAAATATAAAACACCAAATTTTATAATGGTTATTAACTGTAAATACCATAAAAAACACATGATTTTAATAACTTTTCTATCTTAATGTTTAATTATGATGACTCAGTAAACAAAAATTATAAAATTTAGTTAGTTAAATGTGGGTTTGAAATTGAAGAAGTGGTAATTATAACTACAAAAATTATGGAATCAAACAGTAAAGTAAATTTAATCATTATTTTGACGAACGCCACAAAGTTCATCAAATTCACGTTTGACTTCAGTTTCAACATTCTCCATAACGTTGTCGGGAATAGATACAGCGCCAGACATATCGATTGGACCATCAATAAGAGGTGGCATAGTGATTGTCGATGGATCTTTCTTTTGTACAGATTCAGTTTCAGGATCCTTGGTTGTTCCATAAACAACAATAGTTAATACCGAGAACCTTGCTAACACAATCAATCTATTTGTCCATATCTAAAAAAAAGAAGATTAATTAAAAAAATTAAAAATTAAGTTATTTTTATATCTTAAGTACCTTATTGGGACACTGCAATTTTGTATTTTTATGGTCCTCGTAGTTGAGTACACCCAATTCCACGTTTGCTGAGGCAGATTCTTCATCCACGTTGCTGCACTGAAATATAATCTGAAAGTTTTCAGGATCAGTTCCTCTGAAATTTAAAAATTAAAATAATGTAATAATGTAAGAGAAAAGCAGAAGTGGCTTATCATATTTTAGCTGTAAAACTATTCTAATGGATTGTGGTACCCATAAATAATTATCCACTCAGTTATTTATTGTTAATTAAAAATAAATTTTTTACCCAACAATAAATCCTCCATTTGCAGTGTTCGAAAACATTGCTGGTGAAAGAATATCGATATCGGTGATGTTCACAGGCGTCTTAAAATCGATCTCACTTGAAATAACATTCTATAAAAATAAATTATAATTGATAAGTAATATTAAAATACAAAATACAATACGTAAGTATAGAAATATCTAAAAATTATCATTGTATGTCAGCTTATAAATCAAGGAAAACTGTTAAAATTAAATTTGATCAATTATTATTAGATATTTAGCTATAATAATAAGTAATTTTCCTATTTAGTCTAGGAACACAAGAGATGCTGTAGGAATTTATATCGTTATATGAAGTGATCTATTAGAAATAAACGACGAGTTGGCGCAATTAACGAAATGGTTTGTTTTGTATTCGAAGTAATATAAAACTGTAGCAATACGAATTCGATTTATAGAGTCGAGTAGGTATTGCATTAAAAAAGTCGATCGATTAATCCCGTACCCCAACTAATTGACCCAATTACACAGGTCAGACCTGTGTATGTTGCCTATTTAGGGAGGGGTCAAGATGGGGCACTTGATCCCCCTGGAAAATTAATATTAACTTATAATTTAATAAATATTATTATAACATTACTATCTAATGTCTTAAACATCACAAAATAAAATAAATATGCAGTTCTTCTTATTTAATGATACTTAAATAGTACGTTCGATTATATTTTACTTTCTTATTTTTCTATTTTTTCCTGTGCTTTTTAAAACTAATTTTAATTAAATAAATTAAAATAAATTAAAATAAAATATTAATTATATTAATAAAAGCATACAATAATTATAACATGTATTTTATAATTATATATGTTGAAATACCATTACACTTTTATTAAGCTAAAATTTTAGTGTTTTTTATTTTTTACTCCCACCCCCCTCTCATAAAATGTTATCTAAATGAAAACCTTTAGTCCCATGTAAACGAAAAGTTAGTGATACGTCTTTGTAATAAACTAGATAACCTGTTGACCTAACTTAACCAGGGCCATTGACTAGCGGCGAGCAGAGCAACAGAACAGCGGTGCGCCGGGAACTGTCGAGTAAAATACTGCTTTCGTGGAGGTATCGTTTCTTACTCACCTTAGATATGGCGGTCGAGCGAAAAATCGTTTCGGCGGCCAGCACGCGTCTGATGGAATTTTCCGGCTTGCACATGTTGTTGTACAGTGTGGTTGCGATTTGGCGCGAAGCTGTTGCGATTTGAGACTGACGTCGAAGAGTTAATGGAACTCGACAGAATGGCGACAGATGCGTTGTGCGTACGGGAAGCGAATAAAGTGATAACTGACTGTTTGAAGTGTTTGAACAACAATTGTTACTGCGACTGGTTCGACCTTCGGCGGCGGAAGATGATAAGGACGCGGGAGCACAGGGGCTGAGAATTGACGCTCGTCAGATGGCCGACAATTCGGTGGCAGCGCAACAGTTTCGGGACCCGGGTCAGTGAGCCCCAAACGACGATACCGCGGCTTCCGAGTGTCGGACTTGAATTCTCGATAGCGTCCCGAGACACGTTTAGCACCATTGGAAGCAGTGGATCACGGCGCACGCGTGTGGAAGTCTCCTGTTAGTTAGGCGGCGTTCAAGCCGGTAAGCGGAACCCGGTCGGACACGTTGCGACGGATTAAACGTAGACCACGAAACGCTCTGTCGCTACTACACACACCTGAAGCACCGTTCGTTTGTGTCTCGTTCGACGTGGGCCGTGGACCCCGAGAAAATGTTCGTGGTCAACGGGACCTTTGTCATTGCCGACGTTGGATTCGTGCAAGGTCGATAGTCGTATTTATGGGCATGAACGCATATGGTCGTCACCCGTGGTCACGGTTAAGGAAGATTTATTAAGAAAAACGATAAATCATATTTCCGTCACAACTTACTAATGTTTTGTCGATCATGGTACCAATGGACTTATCACTATCCGTGCCACTAAACCTAAAGCTTACGGCAGCCGACCGAAGCTCGTCTTTCGCTGCGCGTTCTCACGCTAAACTGTCACCATATGGTTGTGGAGGTGGTGGTGGTGGTGGTGGAGGTGAGGGTATAACACACGTTGTATGCCATTAAAAACTGTACGCGTTCAATAATTATGGTACGGAATATTATAGTAATATATAGAGGTCGGAATAATATTCTCCTAAAACAGACGAAATAAGATGTTAATATTCTCCTAAAAAATTAATAATATTTCCTTAAAAATTGTAGTTAAATATGCAAAAAATATGCTTTTACAGTAATGTATTCTATTAAATTCAAAATATGCTTTTATATTTAAAAAAATACAATATAGTTGATATATAAAGGTCATTAATTATGATACAATTCTATAATATGTTTAATGAAATATTTTTTTTTTTCATTTATTTAAATAAACAATTATAGGTAAGTACCTTTATAATTTAGCTTTAAAAAAATGTTAATTTAACATCGTATTCACTCATTTCATATTGTTATTCTATTTATAGTAATCTCAATATTAACGGACTAAAAACTTATTTGATATTATTAATAATTTTCGTCCCTACAACACAAAATATTCAAATTCTATAAAATTAATCGATATACGTATTCTCTAATATTTTTTTTTTATACGAAATATTCTCTTATTTAAAAATATTCTCAAATACGCAAAAAATAAACTTTTGCCATTGAATTATATGATTCATAATTTTTACAAATTTCAAACCAAATTTTGACTGCTCAGACTCAAAAAAAATAATATGCAAAAGAATATTATTCCGACCTCTAGTGATATACGTACGATCATACAACTCTCGAAAATCATAGATTAAATATATAGTATATTATATTTTAATCTATGCGAAAACTGATTTAAATTCATTTTTATGCTTACTCGAGAGCAACCTAGCGGTCAATTCTCGAAGTCGTCTAACGACTACTATCGTGCACAATCTGTACAGTTGCTAGAGGGAGCTGTATGTTTACATAATTTGACGCGCGTGCGGAAGCGCTTCGCTTTTTCTTACGCACTAACCCACGCACGTCTCACCAAAACGCATCATACAATACGCACTTAGACGATTGCCTATATTGAAACCCTTAAAAATTATGGATATCGATGTATTCGATTTTCGATGGAAAGGTCGCGCGTAGATACGATTTAAGGTAGTACATAATAACTATGTCTATGTAATTTTAGTAACTCTTAATACGACATCTAGTGGATCTATTGGATTAATCTTTAGAAACAGTAATAACAATAATTGGTTGAGTCGACACATACATATTTTTTATTTCCAGTAAATAAACCTTAAATATATTTGATATTAAATTTTCAATTCTTGGTTGCTTAGTGCTTACATTTTAAACTATGATTCGTTTTAACTACCTACAAAAAAAAATTCCAAAATTCTCAGGATTTTTGTTAAAATTTGAACTAAATACTTATAAAAATAAGTTATGGATATGTATTTTGGTTTTTTGCGTATTCTATTTTCAATTTGTTTTATCCAAAAATTAGTTAATATCCAATAAAATAAAACAACATATACTTCATAAAATTAAATACTTATCATTAATATACGAATAGTATATGAAGATTTCAGTACTTCAATATAATTATTCTTCCTAATTCTTAATCGTAATCGATCACTTCATCAACAATTTCAATCTATAGATATCAAATTTATTCTTTTTGTGTTAGTTGTAACTTGTATTTATCCATTAAATATTTACCTATAGGCAATTAATTTTATAGATATCAATTTTACTTTGTTATAAGTTATAAAATTTAAGAAAAATAATGTCTTACTCATACGTATGTATTAGACAATAGAATAATATTGATATTAGTAAAACATATACTAGTACTAGATGACATTAATCGTTATTAAATTGTTATGAGCCTATTAAACGCCAGTCACTTTGTCAGTTACCAACTTCAGTAAGACCGTTTTAGAAGGGGTACAGTATAGGCAATTTTCTTAAGTTTTGGCTGAGTAAATGTATGTTACATTTTAATATCTACGAAAACATTAATATAATGTAATATTATATTTTGGCATGTATATGTCTTAGAGCTGGGGGACATTCTGTTAATTTGTGTGACACCGAGAATGTTATCATGACGTCATGAGCGTTTTATATAATGTGTGTGCGTCGCTGGCGGGGACCGGTTACTGGAAATTAGCGATTATACGAACGTTATCGTGATCGCGGTGGCGTGTGATCTAGTAGTAGTAGCAAGTCCGAAGTCGTAACATTAACGACTATATCTAAATATCTTAACGACTATCTTTATTGACGATAAAAATAACTTTTTTGATTCTTATGTCAACTGTATTCAGTTAACAAGACATATACATTATACATGTACCGATGTATCTGCATGTAGTGTAGATACTCTGTTTTCATATATATTTCCGGCTAAAATTTTAAGATGTGCGACAACCCGTTTGAGCTACATAGGGAAAAAAAGTTCTGTTAAAAAAATGACACAATATTTTTAATCTAGTATAATAAAATCAATGTTACTTATGGCTTATAAATTGTATACAATAAATAATATTATTTTAGATGATTGTGATGTATACGTATACCTAATGTGTACAGTATCTGTAGTCTGTACACATTAGGTACATCTGAGTGGCCGTACTCTGAAGTATTTATATATTACTACTATATTACTATAATATACACATATAAACATATTATATACATCCCAGACAGCTAGACGCTAGACACATGTATCATCATGTTACATTCACTCGGTGTTATTACGGTGTTCGAACACATAGATATACCTATATTTTAAATACTTAACAAAATTTATGATAATCATAATAACATAATTTTCCTACCTGTTAGTTGTTACACATTTATGTTCCTAAATAGTCTCGTTTCATCTCCTACTCCGTGTATTGCTAGCAGGTCATTGGTAAAGTAAAATAAAATATATTAATATTTTATTTCAATATACCTTAAGTTGTACTTATTATAACTTAGTATCTAGTATAATATTGTTTACTTTTAAATCCTCTCATATTTGTCCTTCTGGTATTAATCCATCACTGTTACATCGTATCAGAGATATACCACGTTTAAATTATTAGCTACTTACCACGCATAACCCTTTTTGACGTTACTACCTAATTATTACTTTTTTTAAGTGGTAATTTATCATGGAAATATTCAAATATATCATTAGAAAGTATCGAACATTTACTTATGAAATATTCTGTTGATAGATACTAGAAGAAATTGATATTTCAAGCAACCTTTCAATACGATACATACTAATTAACAAATAAATATAAATTATACAGGAAAAAATAGACCGAATTTATTTCAAAAACCAAACATTCCTACTTCGGAGAAAAAAATAAAAATAATTTAAATAATCCTAAAAAAATATTGGTTTACCATCGAAAATTATTGTTAAAAATGTATGAAATTCTCAATTTTTTATAGATGAGATTTGAAAATCGAATACAAAAATTCTAAAAATTAGTTCAAATAACTAAAAGTAAAACAATCAACTGCGTGTATTAATAGCAATAATAATAATAATAATATGTTTATAGATGATTGTCTTTGGTCGGAATCGATATTTTGTATGCTAAGGTTTATTATTGAATTCAAATATAACACATACGTTATATTGAAAAATGATTCTAAGAAGAAATGGTGAGTCAATTTCTTATTCTAACAGTATTTTAAAATTTATATATATATATATATATAAATATATTAATATTATTATCGCTATAATTTATTTTTTTATAAATAATATACGAGTATATACTAATACGGTGTGATAGACATTTTTATAAAAGTTATGGGGTATAATATTACATATAGCCTATAGGTACCATAATTTAATATAATATATATATACATGTATAATTTATTACTATCTAAAGGTACTAATTTTGAGAATAAGGTGAGTAAACTTATGTGTCTAAAGGATTTAAAGGAGTCTGGAGACTTACTCAATTGAATTCTATTTGACAAATATGTTTGAGAATTAAGTGGCAGTGTCATAGGTAGAACACGGATTAACATTATACATTAAAAACCAACCAAATACGCGCTAAAAAATCTTTAATATGCATAAATATGCACGAAAATGTCAAAATATGAAAATAAAATTATTCTTTGAACAATAACGAAATAATGTTAATAATCAATCAAAG